AAAAGAAAAGCTAGTTTCAAATGTTTTTTTAGCTCCGTTGCGTCCCAATGCGTAGCACACAATTGATGGCGAGTAAGCATCAGTACGATATTTCGCGTAGAACCATTAATGACGATTAATTGTTACGGATTCTAGCGCAATCCCGAACAGTCATTTTTATTTTTTTTCCAATAAATTGCTATTATTTATATGTACTTTGTTAGCCACAAAACCAAACATAAAAATTTATAATACAAAATCTTTTAAGGTTACTCAAAAATAATTAAAACAAACATATTTCAAATTAAAAGCCAACATAAAGCAACGACAATTTTCATAAAATTCAGATTTATTTGAAATCACACTTATGTTGTCCATTAAAATCAATCTGTAAAAATACATCTCCTATACATACAAAAAGTTTGCAGTTACACACAAGAAAATTGAATTAGTTTATGAGAAAAAATGATACTAAAATTAATATTAATAATTAATATAAAATACCAACAAAGTTCACTGGGAGTTAGCAATTAGTGTACCCAACAAGATACAAATACATCATTACATTCGTTTGAAAAATCGCTATGAAATTAGAAATATCAAGCATACATACAGAATTCCTATTGATCCAACAAAATTCTGTGAGATGCAAATACACAGAATCTGTTAGATTCAACAACCTGTTTGATTACGAGATAATCAAACTAGATTCTGGTTGAATCTATCAGAATCTTGTTGTATTAATAGGTATTCTGGTAAATTTAATCAGTCTGTTTCGTCAAAAATCGAACAGACGGTTAGCTGAATCAAACAGAACATTCCTCACAGTGCATGTACTTTAAGAAAAAAAAAGTTAAACTCGAATCTTAGAATAACGGACTTAAAAATTGATTGCGTTAAATGTTAAATAAGTTTAAGTGGTCTATACTACATTTCTTAAAGAAATTATTTTCTAACTTTTATAGTGTCCAAGATATTGAAGATGCTAATAATTATTGACTTATCGTATATTTTATTAAACAAATTCATCATTGAGTAAATAAGCACAGTATTTTACGACATATGTGCGATACATATGCGCATAACGAATTTATTATTTCATCAAGACATCATCTAAACTTTTAAACAAAAAGATATTGTTTTCGAAAATTACGGTTAATTTTCTTTTTACAGGAGTAAAAAGAGAATGACGAAGATGTAATTATACATGGATAATTCTCTGACTTTTCTTAACGTTACTTCAAAATGCGTAATTTTATTTATTTGTGACACTTGTAAAATGAACAAAAGCTATATTTAATTTGACTGAGAACATAACTCAATCTAGACAGTGCAATTGTTGCAATATATTACATCCTAAGTTATGTGTTAAACAATACATTTGACAAACTTGTGACGTAATACAGATAAAAAAAATTGCATGAATCTGACATGAATTATTCAACATCGTCAATACAACATCAGGGAAAAAATTTTTTTATCCCTCTATTATTAGTTTTAGATATACTAGATTACTATATATTACATTAACATGACACATTAGCTACTCATTAACTAATCTACAAAAGTTAAATGTCAATAAAATTTTTGTAAATTTCAAAAAATATAGTGTCAAAATTAGTATCTTTTTATTAACATATTGAAATTTTAATTGTTATTTTAAAACTAATTAATATTAATTTAATTATTTTATTACTTCAGACTATTATCGTATACATTACAATATGACTGACTAATATAGTTAAGCTTGCTTATAACATGACAAAATATTGAATTTGGCATTATTTTTTTATTGCTAAAGTTTTTAGAATATAGTACCTAGCATTTGAAAATACTAACTGTAGAGGAAAATGTTTTAGTAATATTGTATAAAAAATGTTAAACAGCTTTCTCACACCTAAGTTCATTTTTAATCAGTTTGCAACTGATTTAAAAATTAATTTTTATAAAAACAATGTTGAAGGCTATTCTCAAAAGAAGCACATATTTTGACTTTTTACTTTTTATAACTTTTCAGTTTTTATTGTCGTGTTTTATATAAAAATGTCAATACATCCATAATTTTTATATAAAAATTTGAAACAATTTAAAAAATCTTATAATTAGATTCAAACAAGATTAATGTATATACATATTACTGTTAATGTTGTAAGTAACAGATACATAAATAAAAAAAGACTAGTAATAAATATTTTTATTATGTAAATAAACTCAAATATTTCTAAATAAATCTTGCATTTTATTTTACTAAAAAATAGATTTATTAAATTAGAAGTTAAAAATTATTTTAATTGTATGTATTTATTATTGAAGTCGTTTCATTTATAAAAATTTGGTGTTTTTACTATAGAATGCGCCTATTGATAAAATGAAAAAAATTGGAGTTATTTTTATACATGCAATTTCATATTGCTATATATATAAATTTGTAACTTATAAAAAAATACGAATGTATAACATATAATAAAATATATACATATATGTGCCGGTGATTATAAAAGTGAACTAAGTCAAAAATTTTTTTGAGTTGATTTATCACTTATTTTGTGTTATATCGATCTATAAAGTCGGAATATCTCAAAATAAAAAATCATCAAAATTTTTGACTTAGTCCACTTTCATAATCACCCCGGCACAAGTGTATAATAAGTATCTATATATATATTTTTATTATATAAAAATATAGACATATAATATGTCGATGTATTTTTCCATTTAGGCCTTAAAGTTGCAACTATTCATACAGTACATTTAGTTCATAGCCAGTTATATTTACAGTGTAGCTTGTTACTTTAATAATTTTTGTATGTGTGTTGAGCGACCTGTATAATAAATATTTAATTTAGTTCAAATCCACTTACGTTTTTATATGAAAACCTCGTGAATTTAGTTCTAGGATAGCCATACACTTCATTTTAATCTCTTTTGTACAATTGATAAATGTAAAATAAATATTAAAACTATAATATTTTATACGTTCAATAAAAATAACATTCTTCTATAAAGTTTTATTATATATTTCGGATTCCTAAAAATAATACATAACTGTAAACGGAGAAAATTATATAGCAAAAATTATTATGTACAACAGTAACCGTGGACCATGAAGTTGCGGACCCAAACACGTGTGAAAAATATAGTAAAATTTTTTATAATTCCTTCATGGTCCGCAGCTACTACCGTACATAGTAATTTTTTATATAAAATTTTCTCCGTGTAGCAATTTCAGTTGTTAATGATTTTAGGTTGTCGATCAAAAAGGCCAGAATTCATATCATTCTATCAAATTATTCGTATTTTAATTGCAATTTTCATCTATTTTCCGCGCACGCGCGACTAAATTTAATTATCTTTGGATAATTTAACAAATTTTTATCTATTTTTAATTGTCTCATTAATTCTCCTTTTTTACGAAATGTAATACTTTCCTATAGATGTCATATATGTATAGTCATAGAAGTCATATATACGAACAACATTGTTAACTAAACTTTTATAAAATAACCAAAGCATAAATAAATTATCAAAACAATATAAATTTCGAGAATTTTTAGCTAATCCACTTATAAAAAAAACTAAAATTTTTAAATTTAATCCACTAAATATTTTAACTCGTAATCTGTTAATTATTATTACTAATTAAAAGAAAATCTTACAATGTGAAAAGATCGTGATATAAAATAGATATTTTATAAGAGCTGATTTAAAATTTCTTTAATATTTCTTCAAGTTATAAATTTTGGTAATGACTTATTTCACTAGCGGATCCTGATGTCGATAATAGGGGGGAGGGAGGGGGGGAGGGGTTGACCTGCTTTAATGCATTTTTTTACCAAGAATCTTGAAACGGATCCAGCAAAAATTAATTTTTTTAACTTGAAAGGGGGGGGGTT